ACTCCCAATTAATTGATCCCCACTTGAGCCACGTAAGACCCGCCATGAGTCCCACACGGTCCAAGATATAACCTGGTAGGACACGATCGGGGGAGTAATGTTATTTATACGTCAGTTATTTTGGGGAGAGAGAGAGAGATATGAAGGTGGTAATGTATAGTTGAGTGGGTTGAAGACACTAGTAGCCAGACGGTGGTGGCGTGGTTGACGTGTAGTGTAGTCAGTGTCTTGTATAATATGCCTGGAGGGGGGGTGGGGGGCATTTCAAAAGGTCATCAGTCACCAAGACAAACGAGGGAGAAAAAGGTCATCGAGAGTAGGTAAAGGTCGGTCTCCAGCTACAGTCACACATCACAGAGAAGACTGACCAGTTATTCCTTCACTTTTTACTAATCTAACCTTATTTATTTTCTGTAATTCATCTGTATATCTATTTGTATTTGGGTAAAAATATATGCATGGGTTTGTCTGCTCGGAAGGGGAGAGACAATCATGTTATGAGCACCTCGACACACAACCTCTCCAACTAACAGCAAGTGGAAGATTAAGATTTACACTGGAACAGAATCTGCGGCTTATTTTTTTGTTTTGCTTAATTCGAAGAAAAAAAACGGAGGCGTACCATTCATTCCAGGTGTATTGTTCTGGGAGAGAAAGAGAACTTGGTGACTCGGCGCTTTACAAGAGAGACAGTGGCAAGTGACCAAACACCGTTGCCACACTGATGATACAACAATACCTGATAACTCGACTGACAAGTGAACAATGTATTAACGATGGCCAAGAGTGTTGAGGTCACTGGCTGCTGAGGGAAAGCCGGAAGCACCTCAGTACAGGGTAGGCTGATGTGTACTGTATAAGTTTTACATGTTGCCTGAACGTACAGTTTTCCCCAACTCATGAAGGAAGCCCAACAGCCTAAGAGTGGTCAGACGAGGCTTCAAGTATGAACCATTAGCCACCAGAATTCATCAGCATCATTCACACCTTTATTGACTTGACTGATTTGTTGTTTTCTTTTCAAGTGTGAGGGATGCTTTATGAGCAACTTACAGGCACAGCCGCTAATGACGTATTCTAAGTCATCGTTGCTTCTCACGAGGTTAGTAGGTGGCGTTGTGGAGGTCTTTTGTACTGTGTCTCACTGTATCACGCCCGGGAAGAGTGCCTGTGTACTCGACATCATCATAAGGTACTTATACACCCGAGGCCCTTCCTGCCCCCTCAAGTTTACTTTACCACTAAGCTTCCCGGATGGTGACAAGATAAATCAATCTGCTGTTGCTTGTAACCCGCCACAGGCCAGCATTTTTACTACAGCCAAGATGATCTGGGCTAACTTTCGAATGCTCTTACAAAGGGGGTAATATAAAAACCCAGAGGGTGACAATGAGAAATAACGCCGCGATATAATTGAATCTAGTCAGGCAGGCCGGTGGAATCTGCACGATGCGAGCCAGCATAACGAGGCACAAGACAGAGGCATCTACCCACCTCTCTCATGGAAGCTTCAACTGATCGATCTACTTTATTTCCTGGACAGAAAAGTAGTTAAAGTCACTCGAATTAACCTTTGACGAGCAGAAACATGAAGGCGACTGTCCGAGGTAATAACTGAGCCAAGACTCTCAAGGCTACTGACTTACATTAACACCAGACTGACTTTTCCCGCAACTCATCCAACTGGTGATCATTACGCAGAGACTAAAATAAGTTCACGAGTTAGAAGCGGAAAAAATGCTGTAAAAATCGTTGGAAATCCCGGGCCGTGAGGAAGAGGACTGCCACACTATGCTTTGTACTCAACGTGTGTGTGTGTGTGTTGCTGTACTGTACATCTACCAACAGGTCTTCCAACACACGATGTTTCTCACTGCTACAGAGATAATACAACCTTCCAAAGATATTTACACTAAAGGCAGGACTATACTAAACGATTATATATGCCAGATGAGATGAACATGACAGCACACGGGATGGTCATGACAGCTTACAAATACGACAGTACCCAGATGTTAAGTATGACAGTACCGGGATTGGGGTTTGGCGTGCTTGGTGTACGAACTTCGCGTGAGGAGGACGCGAGGGAGAGAGGACGGGGAGAGGGAGGGAGGGGGGAGAAAGGGAGGGCGGGGGAGAAAGGGAGGGCGGGGGAAGGGGAGGGAGGGGGAGAAGGGAGGGAGGGCGGGGGGAGAAGGGGGGAGGGAGGGGGGAGAAAGGGGAGGGGCGGGGAGGATTTACCCTGCCTTAACTAACAATGTTTCTCAGGTTGGTGTCTGCCTCTGTGTGTGTGAGTGTGTGTTGCAGCACACTGTTTATACTGGCGTCCTTACAGCTTGCATAGCCATTAACGCCTCCTTCATTAGCTACACACACACACACACACACACACACACCAGACGCTTTACAACTCTCCACTCCAGCTTCAGTTTTCCTCATACCGTTGCTCAGGGTAGGCCAATGTTAAGAACGTGGTAAGAGTAAAAACATGGTAGACTTTGTAAACTTATACCAATGTCATGTAGAGGAGCATTTTTTATGTTCTGGCGGTACTCGGGGTAAGTACAGGGCAAATCCTAAAGCCTATTATTGTCTTTCGCCTGGGCAGCGTCTCCTGTCAAATGGCTATACTGTATACTCCTTGGAAGGGACCAGTATACCAAGCTGGTCCAGCGCCCGGGATCAATAAGCACCGATCACTGTCTTCCTACACTAGTCAACTTTTACAATACTATTTTCTTTGTGTGAGATTATTATGTCTTACAATATAATACAGTAAATACCGGGACACTACCTACACACCAGAGTCGCCGTAAAAACGCTGCCTCAGTAACAGGACAGTATAAACGTGCGGAGCTCATTGCCGGAAGAAGTGATCTTCACCCAGTCCGTGAACTCCTCCAAGGCCAAGCTGGAACGCCACCTTCAAGTGCTGACGGGTACTGCCTGGATAGTTCGTGTGTGTGTAATACTGAAAGCGATGTTGGTGTTTTCTTACTACTACTACTATACTACTATTACTACTACACTTCTACTACTATTACTAATAAAATAGAACCAAGGTCACTTTTTCCGAGTTCATTCACCGGACCAGTTAACTGCAAGAGCACTCAAGACACACACACACACACACATATGTTCTTCACGCAATAAATGTTCTACCAACTAAATCCCACACGATCTGTTAGTCTAGTGAGGCGCTTCAACAGCCACACCCACACAGCCACGTTACAGCAGAGATGTTCCTTTAAATTCATGAAAAGACGAACCATTGACAAGGTAAAAAATAGCTAAAACAATAAAACAGCAACATAGGATAAATAAATAGCCGGATTCAACAAAACAATAACTACCAATAATATGCAGTAAACATCAATTCGAATTTCGTTCATTCTTGGACAAAAAAAAACCCAGAACCAAATGACAATCAACAACTACGATTATTTAAGTGAACTAAATGGCTTTCAATCTCATTTACTCTTGGTCACGTTCTATTATTATATCGTTGATTTTCTTTTATTTTCGTCACCGTGTATAATAAACTTTGGCTCGTTAAGTTCAGAGTTCAACATGGCGTGAGTCACTTCAGGCCATGATTAGCGGTCAGACAACTCACTAGTATGACTCAACAAACATCATGACTCAACTAAAACTCCATGACTGACTAGTATGACTCAACTAGAACCACACTGACTCACCATCACGAATCAAATGACTAAACAATGACTCACCACCATGACTCAAATGACCAACACTAAGAGACCAACCCGCATCACTCAATCCCCCACCACCTCACCCCCCACGACGCCAAGGAAGGGGGAGGGGAGAGAGGGAGGGGGATGTCTTATGTCTGGTAGAATAGGAAAGCGTTATATGTCTGCCCACACTTCACTATACACACAACTAAAAAACATTAAATATACACATAAGACATCTAAATATACACATACACCAATACATACTTATTAATTTGCATACACGATACACAGTGATGCATAATAACAACTGTGGAATGGAATCAGCTTGTACTGACCTCGTGATTGGGTACTGTAATGGCTATTAGTTGTTACAGCCACTTATTAAACCCGATGGAACAAGGTATAACATGAAGAAAACATGATTAGTACCTACAATCTCAACCAACCCTAATCCCAGTATGGTATTTAGTGATTGGTTAGGTTGGGATTGATCAACCACAAAAGATTCTAATCTGGAAGTTCAACAACGCTAACGCATTTCTACATAACATTCTCAAGTCAAATTACGTCATTACAGTAGTGCAAGATCATAATGTATTTCTGCATAATATTGTGAACTGTCATATTTCAGTCATTCTGTCTCGTTGATTCAGTAAAAAAAATGGGAGTGCGGGTTCCCCTAGGTTCAGTTTCCGGTCACAATAACTGCTGTGGGTAGAATCTAGTTTAAATCTCCTGTGATGGGATATGATTAGGACACAACGAAAGAAAAAAGAATTGAGAAAGATGATGAAATATAGAACACCAGTAAGAAAAAAAATAAATAAAAATTTAAAAAACACAAGAAAATATTACTAATAAAATCCTAGAAACATTGTATCTAATTTATCATAATATACAACGAAATAATTTTAGCAAACTTAATGTTTTACTGTTGGAAGATAAAATCGAAGCGTAACAGCCACAGGGGTAGTTAGACAGCTGTGTAGTTAGCTCGTTTAAAGCTGAAATATTCAATGGTTTTCTCGGTTGCGTTAGTTGTAGGAAATAATTGACTTTTTTTTTCAATTTAATTTTAAGCGTTAGAACGTTAAAGAACCATAGCGCTTGGTTCCACATTCCTTCACATTCTTAACTAAACATTTTCTCCTCTAAAACGAATCTATTTAACCTAAAGTCTCAAAGTAAATTTAAAGTCATATTTGAGTTTATTTATATAGTTTAGGTGGTGAGTTTATTAAGGAGAAATAATTCACCCCACAATCCAGACCAACTTTCTTCCTTTCAACTTTTTCATCTTACCTGGATGAACTGAATGGTGATGGCTGATTTACCTACGCCTCCTCCACCTACAACCACGATCTTGTAGTTCTGAGACATAGGACTTTGATCCTTGCTTGGACTTTTCCTTCCCATGTTTGTTTTTTAAATTATAATCTAAATACCCGGGAGCACCAGACACTAACACCCTCTCACCTCCTCACTCCTTACGACACTGACGCTCACCACAACACCCCCAAACTCTTTTAAAAATACTCCACCTATATTATTTTCACCACCATTACTCATGAAAATAATCATGTATTTATTAATGTTTAATTATATAAGTAAAATTAGTTATATTTAAGAAGAATGATGTGTTAGAATTATGTTTATTGTTATAGGAAGGTTAAATATTATTGGAACGTGGATAGTGGCGTCTGCATCCCATACTCGGTAGCGGGTAGCGTACTATTACACATGTCACTTGTTGTTGTCTATGTCATTTATCCACTTATTCTCCTCCTTATAAAGTCATTTCCTAACGTTAAGATTTCTATAAGACTTGGAAATAAAATATTGGACTTATTCTGGAAGCATTATATCCAAACCTTCAAGAGAAATAACTAAAAAAAAGCGGAAAAAATTGTATATTAACGATTTTATTTGTGCTAAACTTTCCAATTAAATTATTCTACATAGCTTTCACACTGATTAGATATAATATAATAAACGTGTGCCAAGAATATTTTTTAAAACTTGATGATAAATAAAACAATAATATTACCTACATTATTTTTGAGATAATTTGAGTGAGTTCTTCAATATATCCTAACCACAAAACGAATCATAATTAAAAAAAAATCCACAAAACATTATACACATAAATACAATCATCTACATAAATCAATAAACTACAAACATTTATTATAATTTCTCAAAGATAAATACATATTGGCATATTCATTAATCAGTGTGTGGGATATAAAGGTTTAATGCAGGTAGTGAGGTATTTTTGATCAACCTGGCTTGTATTTTGTATTTATTCTAGTGATACATAAAATACATATACATATTTATTCTAGAGTGATGTATTTCGTGTTTATTCACATATATGACCTCACTTCAACCTTCTAGTCTTGGGTGTGGGTGTCAGTAGCGTCACTTGGTTTCCGGAGGAGTGTATGTGTGTGTGTGATGGGGGAGAGGGGTGTATGTGTGTGTGTGATGGGGGAGAGGGGTGTATGTGTGTGTGTGATGTGTGTGTGATGGGGAGAGGGGTGTATGTGTGTGTGTGTGATGGGGAGAGGGGGGTGTGTGTGTGTGATGGGGGGAGAGGGGTGTATGTGTGTGTGTGATGGGGAGAGAGGGGGGTATGTTTGTGTGTGATGGGGAGGGGGGGTATGTGTGTGATGGGGTGGTGTATGTGTGTGTGATGGGGTGATGGGGAGGGGTGTATGTGTGTGTGTGATGGGGAGAGGTGTATGTGTGTGTGTGATGTATGTGTGTGTGTGTGATGGGGAGAGGTGTATGTGTGTGTGTGATGGGAGAGGAGTGTGTGTGATGGGGAGAGGGGGAGTGTGGGTGTATGTGTGTGTGAGTGGGGAGAGGGGTGTATGTGTGTGTGTGTGTGGGGAGAGGGGTGTATGTGTGTGGATGGGGAGAGGGGTGTATGTGTGTGTGTGATGGGGAGAGGAGGTATGTGTGTGTGTGTGTGATGTGGGAGAGGGGTGGGGTGTGTGTGTGATGTGGGGAGAGGGGTGTATGTGTGTGTGTGTGATGGGGAGAGGGTATGTATGTGGGTGTGTGTGTGTGTGTGTGATGGGGAGGGGGTGTGTGTGTGTGTGTGATGGGGAGAGGGGGGGTGTATGTGTGTGTGTGATGGGGGGGGGTGTATGTGTGTGTGTGATGGGGAGAGGGGTGTATGTGTGTGTGATGGGGAGAGGTGTATGTGTGTGGGAGAGGGGTGTGTGTGTGGGGGGAGAGGGGTGTATGTGTGTGTGTGTGATGGGGAGAGGGGTGATGTGTGTGTGTGTGCTGGGGAGAGGGGGTGTATGTGGTGTGTGTGATGGGGAGAGGGGTGTGTGTGTGTGTGTGTGATGGGGAGAGGGGTGTATGTGTGTGTGTGATGGGAGGGGTGTATGTGTGTGTGTGTGTGGGGAGAGGGGTGTGTGTGTGTGATGGGGAGAGGGGTGTATGTGTGTGTGATGGGGAGAGGAGTGTATGATGTGGTGTATGTGTGTGTGTGTGGGGGAGAGGGGTGTATGTGTGTGTGATGGGAGGGAGTGTGTGTGTGTGAGAGGTGTATGTGTGTGATGGGGAGAGGTGTGTGTGTGTGATGTGTGAGGAGGTGTATGTGTGTGTGTGATGGGGGAGAGGGGTGTATGTGTGTGTGTGTGATGGGGGGAGAGGGGGTGTATGTGTGTGTGTGATGGGGGAGAGGGGTGTGGGGGGGAGAGGGGTGTATGTGTGTGTGTGATGGGGGAGAGGGGTGTATGTGTGTGTGTGATGGGGGAGAGGAGTGTATGTGTGTGTGTGATGGGGGAGAGGGGTGTATGTATGTATAGAGAAGTTAACTATTACACATTGTCATACTTTCACACACTAGTATTGTTGAAATGTTTTTATTTGTTCACTTTCGTCATAGGGGTTATGAGTTTTTTCCTACAATACTGTATTGTTAACTGAAGTTTGTCTCTCCGTATTAGTGACCGTAAGTATTTCCAAGACAAAATGTCCAAGATTGAGTTATAAAGTCCCAACAATAATATAAATAATTTATTAATTTTCATTTTCGTCGTCAAAAACTTATTATTTTCAATTTCCTATCGCCAGAAACCTGTTATCTCTCATAATTCATCGCCAAAAAGACTATTATTTCTCACCATTCATCGGCCAAAACCAGTTATTTCCCATCATTCATCACCAAAGACCTATAATTTCTCATATTTTATCACCCAAATCTAGTATTTCTCATCTCTCACCGGGAGTCGCCAACTAGTAGAGTCTCCCCCGTAAGAAAGCATTTTCTCTAACGCAGCAATTAACAATGTGGCTAACTGAAGTTATTTTACGCCAATTTAGTCGCATTTTGAAGCTAACATCCAATTTTATTCATACAAGGTGCAGTAAATAAACAATAATCATTACAACAGACGGTAATACTTAATTAATGTATTGACTTCTAGACAGTTAAAATAAATTATTTAACGTTTCCCCGTATGATACTTTTGTTTTATTTATTTAAAATGTAATGTATATAGACAATATAGATATAGAGTCAATGTAGTACTGTTAACTATCCTTTGTGTAATTAGCTTACAGTTTACCGTTGTTTGTATACCTGGACTGTCAAGGTATATTGTTTGTATACCTTCACTCTATATACACTATACCTGCACTGTCTATATACATTCTAAACCAATTATAAACTTATATAAAAATCTTTTACTGAATAATTTATTTATTTATCTTTCTAAATATCAATTTCTTCTCTTATTGTAGTTTCGGTGCGTAAAACACATGTGCCCCCTGTGAGAATCGAACTCACGACCCCTGGTTTACAAGACCAGTGCTCTGCCCCTGAGCTAAGGAGGCGACGCACGAGTCTCATCCACACCTGATACAACACTTATTTAATATATCTATCTGTCTCTCCATTTATCTATCTATCTACTCGGCTGGGTCACCAATAGATACGGCAGCTGACAGATAACTTGAAAAAATCATAAGGCAATTCTCACTTACACTGTTGAACGGGAAGTGTAAACTGCATCAGCCAAGTAAGTAATTAAGGTGAATGTGAGTCAACAGGTAGAGGTCATTAAGGTAATCTCTCAGGTCATGTTCAGCCTACCTCCTCCTCCTCCTTAACCTGGGATGACCTCTGTACACAGTCTCGTAACTATTCACAAATGTTATGACTATGAAACCTGTGGGAGAAAGGGAGTATTTGTATAATGCTGAGTAATGCTGAGTAGTGATGTGTGATGCTGAGTAATGCTGAGTAATGTTGTGTGAAGCGAGGGGGAGTTAGGTTAGGTATACTTAACAGGTGAAATAAGCGTTGGGGTGTCTAATCTTCAGGTGATCCAAGACATACTAGGCAGGAAACATATTTAGTAGAGCAGGAATAAATGATAATGAATAATAAATAACGAGAAAAAATGAAAATGAAGGAAATTATTATACCAAAGAATACAGTAAAGCCTATATTTAACGATCCATTATTTATGAAAACTCCAAATAACAAATTACACATATATGGAAAGTCCGTTATAGGCCTATATATACACAAAAATAATATCTAACGGTTTATACATAGAAAGGGGTCCGTTATATGGTTTCACTGTGCTCACGTAAATAACGAATAAAATATATAAATAAAACATTAACAAAATACAAAGAAAATGATAAAACAAGAATAAGAATACTTACTGGTTATGAGAACAGCCCCGGCAGTCACCACGCTCAGGAGGAAGGCGGTAGTTATGTCATCAACAACAGGAGGGAGGCTGGACATCTGCTGGCGCCCCTCTGCTTCTCCTGCTGGGGGATAAACACCTTCGTCAGGTTCTTGTACACCATAAGTTACTGGCTACCGTGTGTGTGTATAGATTACTGTGTATAACCGCCAATCAGACGGTTAGAGGGTGAATAATACTGCTCACGTCGTACACGAACATTATAATTCGGTCAAACCTGTTGATACAATTCATTTAATATTTCAAATAAGTCATACATAGGCACTCTTACATAAATGTTTAATACAATATATATTTACATAACAATCATGGCTATGTAATTAGTCTAATCTTAACACAAAAACAATGACACAGTCTACCTGTGTACACAATAAGTACAAGTTAAACTTACGTGTTGAAGGTCTAGCTCAGTGGTTCTCAACCTTGTTTGCCCCATGCACCCCTTTCACCATATGTCAGAATGTCATTCCCCCCTCCTTTCCAAGATTGTCTGCCTCAAAAAGTGCATTCCAAATAATATGAATATAATACTGAAAATCCTTTATTTTTTCCATATTAGTGCATATACATTTACAATTTTACATGGATTATTTTTATAGTGGAGTTTTACAAATTAAATGCCAATTGAAAATGTTGATGGATTTATAAAACTTGAATAAAAGTAAAATAGTTTTTTTATATTTATAATGAATTACTTAACAGACCAAACTGAAGCATAATGCAATAAACAAAAATTCAATAGAATACCAGGATATTGTAAATTTGTAATTAATTTTAGTCAGATGAAGATTACAGTCAATGAGAAACCTGTGATAGTTTTTTCTTCGCCAATTCTGGGATACGCGGAGGAGTGCTTGAAAGGGCACAACGCAGGTCATTTTCTACCTCTAATCTACTACGTTGCTTCGTTTTAATTTGCAACAGAGTTGAAAAGCCTGACTCACAAAGATATGTCGACACAAACGGAAGCAATGCACGGATAGCTCTTTCTGCCACTTTTGGGTAGGAATCGCACATCAAGGGCCAAAATTCTGTGATTGATTTCTCATCGAACATATCTCTTGCTCCCGAATCAGTTTCCCCCCTGAAAACCTGAATTCCCCCCTGGTTGAGAACCCCTGGTCTAGAGAGAAGCCAGGGTAGGTGTTGACTCTAAGATATGGGTAGCTTTACTGAAATGCCCACCCTGTAGCCTGGCCCCTTGGCTGGTCAACTATGGCTGAGTCAGGTGATTATAATGATACATAAACAAACTCCCTTCACACCCTCCAACCTCCTTCTGGGCCTCCCATCACTGTACACGGGCAGGCACGCCCAATAAACATGACATGAGTTACAGCCTAACATAACATTTGTTTATATGTCATCATAATTATGTACCTCTTGCGGTAACACTGTGTATGTATAGATTACTGAGTATGTATAGAACTATTATGTGTATGTATAGGAGATACTGTATGTATATGTATAGAAGTTACCACATCTATGACCCGTCTTGCCACCGCCTGGGATAATGATTATAACCACGCACCGTTGTTCCCACCCATAGAGGTGAAGAAGGCGCTGTAGCAGTCGTGGCGAGGAGGGATTCGATCTCTTGATCTTGATGTCACTGCTAGCTATCCTGATTACCGCTGCCAGTATTCACACTACAGCCACCACAATACCACCACGTGACATATCTTCTTGTTCTTCTGCGGAAAGATAATGGAATAGGTTTTAATCAGTACTTAGTTACCCTCACCTCACCTCACCTCACAGTGACCCCTTCACACTCATCCCTTCTCGTCCTCATATTCAACCTCACACTCACCTATCCTCACTTCACCTGTACTCACTCTCTCCTCACCTCACCCACACCTCCCGCTGTTTCAAGGAAGACCTCGTATCCTGAAGGCTGCTGGCCAATAATGAAACCACCTCGTCCTCCTCACCCTGCCTACTCCACCTACCTTACATCCGTCCCTCACAAACAGTACACTAGCGACACCTACACACACACACACACACACGGTTGGACAGGTGTTTGGGTCAGGGCCACTGAACCATCTAACACCCCCACCTGCGTCACGCTTCTCACACTTTACCGACTTACATCATCAACACTGTGACTCACCTGTGACCTCAAATAACAACTGTGAACTAGTAAGATACACTCTCACATCATCTAGTTAAGGGTGGAGCCAATGATGTTTTGAGGAGTATATGAGCTTTGGTTTATTAGAGCACTAGATCTCAATGCTGTAAACCAGAAGGAGACACCGGAATATGGGTTAAGGTTTATTCGGCCACAGTTAAGATTCCGTCTTGGTGGAGTAACGGTAACACCCAGGGGCTCTGGGAGCTTCCTGGCATGGAGGACGAGAGTGGTGAAGGAGAGGACGAGAGTGGTGAAGGAGAGGACGAGAGTGGTGAAGGAGAGGACGAGAGTGGTGAAGGAGAGGACGAGAGTGGGAAGTTTGAGGAGGAGGAGCGTGATGGTGACGGAGTGTCCATACCGCTCCTGCGGAAGGTTCCTCCGGTGGTCCAGACGCCCGCCATCCTGCAGCTGAGTGCCTCCCGCTTCCTTCTCGCTGGTCAGTCCTTCTCTCTCCCTGGTGTTTACTTGTGAGAGCTGCTGTAGCGTGTCAGTGGCTGTGGCGCGTCATGATCCAATTTAACCCGTGATCATTGTATTCCAGTGACCTTCTTGCAGGGGCTGACACTACTGGCTGGAGGGCCTGCTGGTGGAGGAGGAAGGCCTGTTGGAGGAGGAGGAAGGCCTGTTGGAGGAGGAGGAAGGCCTGTTGGAGGAGGAGGAAGGCCTGCTGGTGGAGGAAGATAAGGGAGGGTTAGATCGCTTCACACCATCCTCCTCCCTTCCCTGGCTGCTGCCCCCTCCTCCTGAAATACCATCACCGACACCTACCTCCTATAGCTACGCCATTATCTGTGAGGTTTCAGAGGAGGACCAGAAAGAAGTCAACATCACTCGACCTTAATCACAGGTAGAGGCGCCACAACACCTCTTAGGATGGGTACTGATGTTCCTGAATAAATATTTTGAACTTAAAAGATGCATTTATTTATACTTCATGACAACCTTAGCCCCTTTAGTTCAAATATTATGTCAACTGTATTCATAGAGAAATTTGAACAGCGTCTCACCAAAAGTCACAGAAAACGGGAATCTAAGTTGCTACAGAAAATAAGAATCTAAATTGTTACAGAAAACGCGTATCCAGACTGTCACAGAAAATGTTAAAGAATATACAACCTCCTCAAGAGACTGTCAACACACAAACATAAAGGGACTTTGTAAACACCCATACAGTGAGCATCTGGTACCTGTGTCCCCCCCCCCCTCCCCGTACAATGTTGACCCATACTCTTGTAAGATCTTAGAGGGGATCAGGTTGTGCTTGATACGTCCCTCTTGTTCTCAGCCCTCACTCAACTCTCTCTCGTTCTTAATCCTCTCTCCCTGTCTCTCCCTCTCTCACAATAATAATCTCCTCTGAGGACTGTGGGCTGTCGAGGCGCCTACACCACGCAGACGCCTTCTTGCCCTCTCCCTGCACACTACCGTCACCATCACCACCACCACCTTCAGTCATCACCACCACCACCACCACCTTCAGTCATCACTACAGCTGTTATTAGTTTTAGCAGTAATACATCAACGCTAGAGTGGAGAGAATGTGTCTTTATTGAACCAACAAGTGATTTACTGAGGCGTCTTTTAAGCTCTCCTTGACACGGTTATAGGAGTGTGTGGCGGACTGGCTGGGATACCGAGGAGGAGCGACAAAAGCCCGCCAACCAGCCCAGCAGCCCGCCAGACCGTGTATATCATCCTGACAATATTATAATGTCAGTGTACACGCTCGCTACCTTCATCTTAATTCTCTATAGTAAAGGTAAGATCATATACTGTGTCACAATTACTGTATGTCATCGATTGTGTTACTTAAGGTTATTGTGAACGACATCTTAATCTGCCCAATGTTTATCCAGTCGTCTTTACGGTTGGTGTTAAAATTTATCGTTTTTATTTCAAGAATAAATTTGTACTAAGTTATATTTTCCCTCGTAATTGGTGGATACAAGAATGAATTTATTTGTGAATCTGGTAGTCTCGGGGTAAATACGACACCATTTTCATGCTTGATCATTCAAAACCATATAAAAACACAATGCTGGGAGAATAACACGAACAGTACCACTTTTATCACCAACCATTTAACTTTCAAATGATATTTTAAGAAACCAGCTCTAATCTGACCCAACTAAACCAAATTATTTTAAAGTAATTTTTAGTTAGTTCACATGTAAAATTGATTCGAGGCCTTAGATCCCCTCCAAAAAAAATAGCGTTCTTGTTCGTGGTACTTACCTAACACTGTACCTCTCGTGGTCATTCCAGGGTCCCTCAGTGTATATATACGAAGCGTGGAAGTACCGAAGGAGGCGCGGGCGGAGGAGGACGTATCGTTGTGGTGCTTGGTGGATCCTTGGCCTGGACCTTTGTATTCCCTTTCCTGGTGGAAGGACGGGTCTCAGTTTTATCGAGCATCTGTAGCTTACTCCATTGGCAACCTCGCTACGGTGTTCGCTCTCCCAGGCATCAAGGTTAAGGTAGGTCCTCCTTCAGGTGGTGGTAGGTGGTGTGGTAGTAGATGGAGTGATTGTGTAGTAGAAATGTGATAATGTTGATAAGTACTGCGCCTGTACTGGCTCCTGAGTGTAACTGTGCCTGCTCCAGTGTTGGTCAAGTCTGGTCTTAAAAGAGCTCCTCGCACTGTGCCGCCACAACACTCTGGTAGATTGTCCTCTGAGGTATTTGTTTACAAGGTTGATATGGGAGACCTGGTGTCACGTGATGTTTGTTTACAAGGCAGGTTTGGGCGGCCTAGGACACGTGGTGCTACAGCGTGTGGGCGTTGCAGCTACAGGGACCTACGTGTGTGAGGCGGTGGCAGACTTCCCGACCTTCTCCCAACACCTGGTCACTGCCAACATGACCATTATAGGTGAGTTGTAATACGACACCTACCCCTTCACCTACCCCTACACCCACCTCTTCACCTATCTCCCCTTCTCTCCCCTATATACACCAACTCTCCCTCCCCTCCCACACAGATCCGCCCGCTACCCGCCCTATCTTGGTCGGGTACAAGATCCGCTACTACCCAGGAGAGGTGTTGGGGGTCAACTGTACTGTGCTGAGAGCTCACCCGACACCTGTCTTCACCTGGTTCATTAATGGCCTTCAGGTGAGAGAGAGAGAGAGAGAGAGAGAGAGAGAGAGAGAGAGAGAGAGAGAGAGAGAGACGGACGTAGATAATAATTACAACTGTTTTAATCTCCTAATTTGTTCTCTCCCTCCTCCTCCTCGTGGCCACTACAGGTGGAGGATGGGGTACAGGAGGTGTTGGAGGTCACCCAAGAGGCCGACCTCACCAGGACTACCACCGCCAGGCTCACCCTCCGACTCAAGAGGCACCACTTCACCAACAACGAGGTCAACCTTACCGTGAGTACCGCCTGGAGTGGTAGAGAGAGAGAGAGAGAGAGAGAGAGAGAGAGAGAGAGAGAGAGAGAGAGAGACACACACATACACACAATTACTTTACACAACATACACAGACTCACTATTCCTTCCTCTCTCCTTTCCTTCTCCTGTCGTGTGGGATCGAACGTGTGTTCTGGGTGGGTGGGTGTCAGTGCGGTGCTCGAGTGGGCCACAACCTCTGGATCACTAACAGCATCACCACCCAGCGAGCTCGACCCCGTCAGTACCACCACCACCTGAAGAAGGTCAAGGGCGGGGCAGGGGGTCACACGCCCACCAATCCTCAACAGAGTCTTCAAGTAGGAGGTGGGTAGCTTCCTGACCTGACCTAACCTAATATGGCGACGTATATCCTGACTTGATCTGATCTAACATGGTATAAACCTGACTGACCTGATCTTACCATTGAAATTATATCACCGTTTGTGTTACAGGGTCAGCGAGGGGCACTCCTGGCACTGTCATATGGAAGGCCCTGATGTTTGCTGCTGCTGTTGACCTGCTGACGTCACCACTGGGGGCATGAGGAACCCCCAACCTAACCTAATCAAACCTAACTAATGTAAACTCAAATGACGATTTTATTGAATATCTATCTATCTATCTCCCCAGGCTAGCTGGATTTGTGTAAAAAATGTCGATGTCTAGTCAAATAAAGTCCTAACTCTTGGAAGTATTACAAATTATTATAAAAATTATGTTCCAATACTTTGACATAGGCACGGGGCTTGGGTGTGTTGAGGGCTAGGCCTACTGTTGTTGTTATTGATAATTTTTATGTATTTAAGGACACTATCTCGATTAGGAATAAGTAAATGCTGAGCTGTATACCTACATCTCTATATACATGCCAAACTAATTGTAGACTTGTATGATGTAATTTTACTGAATAAATATTATTATTATTATTAGAGCCGCCTTCTTACCTCATATGAAACACTTTCCTCTCGACAGTTATTTTTTGCTGAATATATACAAGACATTTGTTGACGCCACCATTTCTCTGTGGAAAACAAGTCTCTGAGTATCTTGAGAGAAATAGACAAAGGAGAATGCTATTGTACCATACTACCAAGCGAGGCAAAGTTACGGGAATATTATACAAACAGGGCGTGAATGACACTATTTTTACAACAAACTGATAAGTCATTACACTAGTTCATAACAAATCAATAATTATAAGATAAACAGAACAAAATAAAGTAAACAGAGGGGACATATACAAAACAAAATAGTCCCATTTAAAATTATATCCGTTTTCTCTGATGCAGGACTGGTAATGGGAGAAAATCATCACTATACATACAAATAACCTGTATAACCTGTAACCAAAATACCTCACCTCTTATTCATTAACACAAATTGACCATATTAGTATATATCAACCACCAGTGTATTCAATGACTTCATCTGTTATGTATTATTTGAAAACACGGAACGAGCCGACCAGTGGTGAAGAGGATTAAAGTGAAAAAAGAAGTAAAAATAATGTTGTTAGAATATATTTACCTGGTTTATTGAGTTTGATGAATAAGAAGTCTTTGATTTTATATTCATTTTTTTTTGTATATGTGACTCTTCTTGAGGCTCCATCCAGCTAAGCTTCCAGTGGCTCCTGAAATATAAAAAGTAACTAAATCACAGGAAAAGGCTTCAATTAATATCATTATTCATATTTTGAGGATAAATCATTTACCTCTTCTGTGTAATTTGAAGTCTTATGAATAATCTTTTTGCTTTCGTCGTAAAAATTAGAAAGACTGAAGCAATGATAAAAAAAAATACTTATATATCCAGCTCTTGTGTCAAATAACCATTCAAAGTTTCCCACATCCACAATAAAATAAAAAAAGGACTTTGATATGAAACAATAGACAACATATACACAATAATATAAGAAATTAAAGATAAAAGATGATGTCAAGTACTTTCTTGCTGGTTTTATTTAGTTTACCTTGTTTTCGCAAAAATAAAATTAAAAGATAAATAATAGTAAATAAATTCCTATTTTTGTTTTATACATTGTAGTTAATATATCAATTCTAGCTATGTTTTATATAATATGGAGTGTTTTCGTCGTTCAGGAGAAGGTTCTGGGTACTCGAATGCTGACTTTGTTTACATCCTGACTTGAGTGACTGAAGCTGCCACAGATGACCGCCTATCACCATCACTAACGCTGATATTACCCGAAACAACCACTTACTCATTAACTCCAGGTAATTATCTTCCTAATGATATAACACAAGTGATTGGTTAACATTGCTAACATCATTAATATAGGTTTTAACATTGGCTATCTCAGGTTTCCAAAGGCTTCAGGGGTTTAATTCTCGTCTTCTCTCGTGTTGATTAGAGATTTTTATTTAGTTTCTAGGTTTAATTACTATCTAAAAACCTGTATAAATATTCCTAGGTGGTGAATCATTATTAGAAATTAATACTAAAGTTAGGGGACTGTAATGTCATTTCTCCCAAGGTATAAACCCTATAGACTTGAGGCTGTGGGCTGAGTTGACAAGAAGGATGATGGTTGATTTTACATTACTCTTTCCTAGGGTGGGAAGTGCGTGTTTTTACGGTTGACACGATAATAATTGGTTTAGAAGTATGATTTTTTTTTATTACGTGTGTACAGTACTGTATTTTGATATATCTAGAGATGGTCGACGCTGTTATTTTTTGTATCTCGTTTAGAATCCACCTCCTCTGCCATTGCCTATGTGTCTTTGAAGATTTATTGAATTAAAAAAAAAAATCACCGAACTGTATGTGATTTGATGTTATGGAAAAATGGCACCGAATAATAAATACCAGGTACACAAATTTGGTAGTGGTCGGTGGTTCGTTCCTGGTATAATCGGATGTATCGGTGAGTCAGGGAGGACTATATTTCCCCAATTTGCCGAAGCACTGACAACAGGTAAGCTATGTCTTGTTTTTATGATAGACTAAAACAATAAAAAGAATATATTTATACAGTACAGTACACAGAAAGAGTGGTGCTACTATAGTGTACTGTCTACAAATATGCCTTTACTCTAAACTCTTAACTAACTTTACCTAAAAATACTAAATCACTCAGAGAATTTCGATAGTACTGTACACATTATAAAGTTTTACCATAAATACAGTACAGTACTCTAAAGTCCAGGTGAGGGAGAGTGGTTCAGTATATATATATATATATATATATATATATATATATATATATATATATATATATATATATATATATATATATATATATATATATATATATATATATATATATATATATATATATATATACTGTATTATACAATGTTCTGTACCTAGGAAAAGATTATCACAAGGCTTAACAAATGGGATATTATTTTACTGGTTAAAAAGAAAGTAGCTACATAATTGATGACTGAATGAAGGATATGATTGATAGAGTGAGGTTTTTATCATTTCAGATTTTGTTAGGTACTGTATGTGTAGTGTATTCTATCTTTCATGTTATCCAATTTTAAGTTTTATATTTATCATTATTATTTTTATCACGTGTCATTTGTATTTCTCATTGTGTTCTAATTGCAAACTTCAGAATGTAATAATTAATTCTCAGTGTTATTTCATATTATATGGCATTCCCAGACTCTAAAAACTGGTACAAATTTTTATACAGTGAACTAATAAAGATTTTTGTATTTCCAGCAATTCCCCACCACCCCCTTCACCACCACCGACACCTCCACCAACGCCGCCTCCAACGCCGCCTCCAACGCCACCACCAACGCCACCTCCGACACCCCCTCCGTCACCTCCGCCGCCCTTGCCATCATAATGTTGGAAGTTACGTGCAACGATCGACTGGGGAAGAAAGTAAGGGTGAAATGCAACCCCGACGACACGATCGGTGACCTCAAGAAACTCATAGCGGCACAGACAGGCACACGCTGGGACAAGATTGTCCTCAAGAAGTGGTACACAATTTTCAAGGACCACATCACGATCGGAGACTACGAGATCCATGACGGAATGAACCTTGAACTGTATTACCAGTGACTTCCCTCGACCGATGCCTCTCACAGCGCATCTAACCCTCTCCATTTAGGTTTGGATTGTTTTACTGTATCTATCCTCTCTGTTACATTTACAACCTCGCCCGTCATATCGCCGGTTTCCCCGTACTTCACAAAACTGGGAACGGTGATGTGTGTGTGAGTCTTAAGATTTGTGCCTACTTGACTTGTCTCTCTCACAGTCACTTTTTTCCTCATTTTGGTGGTCATGTTTTCTGTACTGAAGGATTTTTGTGTGCCTCTGTGTTTATATGTCCAACGTTCTGTCAGTATGTTTGATCGACACAAAGATACATGAAATGTTATTTACAATTGCTGGCTTGGCTAGGTGGCAAGATATATTACGTTTATCATATGTCCTGAGAAATATATTTTAGTCGTTCTCACTGTCTGTTGATTGGAATTGTATTGTCATATTTTTAATAAAATTTGAAATGAGAAAATTAGAATTCTATATCCTTATCAGACACAAGACTCATCTCTTAAATCCATATATTGAAATACTGTACTGGATAATGCATTTTTTTTATATGTCCCATTAATTATAGTGAAAATTGTTTAGATAAAGTCTGTTTTTGTTTTCAGTACAGGTAGCAGAATTCAGACTAGTTCAGTAAACACCACACTGTAACACTCCGAACTAAACCATCAACACAACAACTGCTTCTTCATGTTACACTGTACTAAATTTGATAGGTTTATCATCAATCCATTAGAGAACTATACAGTATAAGAAGTTTTAGCTGTAATATATCCAAACAGACCTTTTACTTAATATGGTCTGGCATATACTGTATGTAGACTATGAAGGTGCTATACACAGTTCAGCATGTGTACAGACAATGCAGGTAAATGTTGTACTGTACATTGGGTGTGGAAGTGTACAGTTTCCTATGTATACTGTACAGTCACCTCAAAAAATCTGTGTCTCCTTTCGAACTCAATCAGTATTGTAACTAAATGAGATAATGCAATGTCATCTGTGTTAAAATTGTGAACTACACACACCTGTGAGTATTCTTGGTTATAATATCCCTTACCTAAAGATGTTATACACATTTCCTCTTACCATTTCGTTGTAAATGTAACAGCCAAAAATAAGAACAAACAAATGATTCAGCACTTCCTCTTTCATTGTTGTTGTCTATCTCTCCAGGGGAAGATGGCAGGTTATTGACGTTCTCAGGAAAGAATATACATGTACTGTACTTCTTAATACATATGACAATTATGCTTTTGATTATTATGAAAGCAGAAATTCCATTATATTTTACATGAGCATCAATAATATGTTTATACTGTATGTGGATGTACAGTATATTACATAAAAATGTGTTGTAACAAATACAAGGTGTTTATTGTTCATTTGAAAGGCACAATAAAAGCCCCTTATGCATGTGATACGACAAACAATTATTGTATTACTATACTGTATACAGTATTCCCTTAAAACTCGTGGTTTTAAAGCTTGCGTCCTTCGGAAACTCACGGATTGCCATGGATCACAAGGAGTCAACACTACAGGACAGTACAGAGTACCATATTTCCCAGGTCATAAGATGCACCCTATAATCAACAAGGTATATTTGGGAAAAAGATTTTTTCCAGATTTAATAGCCTACTATACTGGCAAAGCCAAATCACTGGCTATATGCTATCATGTTTCTTACTACTGCAGCTCACTTTATGGACCTATTATCAAACATTTGTTGGTATTATTAATAAAATTTACCTAATTTAATACGAAAGGATATAATTATACGTATCGGTACCTACGGTATACACATTACAAATACTTATCGGTACCGGACCATACAGTATTATTTCATGTTTATGTTTATTTATGTTATTTCATATTT